GATATCTCTTTGCTATCTCTCCCCTTCTCTGTGTCACTCTGCCTTTCAAATAAGTAAGTAAATAAATATTTTAAAAATTAATGTGTGACTTCCACACAGTAAAAGGCATGTCTTTTAAAGGTTCAGCTCCATGATTTTGTTTTATAATTGGATAAACCCAGGTACCACAATTCACATAGAGATAGAAAATTTCCATCACCCTAGAACATGTTCTTTCCCTCAATGGCCATTTGCCTTCCCAGAGGCAGCTGCTGACTCCCATTACTGTTGCTGTGGATTCGTTCTGAGAGGAGTAGCATGGTGGGGGCAAGAGGCACGGAGTGACCACACAGACCCTGGGGAGTCAGATGAAAGCAAGCCAGAGGCAAGCAGCCTGCGACTTGTTTATTTCAGTTGGTACAGCAGCTTATATAGCCAAGGTAGCCAATCCAGTCAAGGGGCGGTTTATGCCCTAACCAATCACAGCCTGTTGCCAGGCAGGCTCCATTGCCAGGGGATTTTCCAGGGGGTTTCCGAAGCCATTCCTGAGTAACTGATGCTTGCTCGCTAGTGCCATCTTGGCACGGCCTTCTCATTCCACCACACATTACAATGGATTAGTTTTTCTTGCTTTAAACTTTACTTAGAGGACTAATCAGAATGCATTCTTATATATTGTGCCTTTTATTCAACAATTATTTGGTAAATTTCATCCATGTTGTTATATTAAGAGTTTGTCCTTCTGTATTGTGTCATATTCCAATGTATAATCTCCCAAAATTTACCTAGTCATTCTCCTGTTGATGAACATATGGGTTGTGTCCAGTTTGGAGCTATTTGGAAAGCTTCTGCCAATGTCTCTGGTGGACCCAGAACATTCCTTTGCCTTGTATTTCCATTAGAAACAAAACCGCTAGATCATGGGGTAGTTGAATGTTTAGGCTTTTTTTTTTTTTTAAAAAAGATTTATTTATTGATTTGAAAGTCATAGTTACACAGAGAGAGAAAGAGAGGCAGAGAGGGGTCTTCCATCTGCTCATTTCACTACCCAGTTGGCCGCAATGACTGTAGCTGTGCCAATCCAAAGCCAGGAGCCAGGAGCTTCTTCCAGGTCTTCCACACGGGTGCAGGGGCCTAAGGACTTCCAGGCCATAGCAGAGAGCTGGATTGGAGGTGGAGCAGCCAGGACTCGAAACGGTGCCCCAAATGGGATGCCGGCATTGCAGGTGGCAGCTTTACCCGTTATGCCATAGCGCTTGCCCCAGATGTTTACCTTTGATTGATATTTCCTATCTTATATAAAGACAGAATCTGAAATTATTTATTTATGCTACTATGTACCAAGTAGTGTCCTGAGTCTTGAGTCTGAAAGGTTCCAGGGCCAGCTAATTGAGTGAATCAGTGTTTTGAAGTCTTGAGTTTTGTTTTCAGGTTCCTATCCCCATGGTCTCAAGATGGCTGCTGCTTCTCCAGATATTGTGTCATTATAAGACCTCATCCAAACAAAGAGGGGGAGAGGGTTGTTCCTGTGTGTATTTTATGCTATTTTAAAATTTATTTATAGTAAATAAAATATTTTTATTTTTTATTTAAAAGGCAGAGTGATAGAAAGAGAGAAGGAGACACACACACACACACACACAGAGGGAGAGGGTGAGAGGGAGAGAAGGATGAATATCTTCCACCCACTGGTTCACTCTCTAAATGGCCACAACTGCTGGATCCAGGCTGGTCAGAAGCCAAGAGCCTGGAACTCCATCCAGGTCTCTCACATAGGTAGTAGGAGCCCATGTACTTGGGCCATGTTCCACTGCTTTCCTAGGTGCATTAGCAGGGAGCTGGATTGGAAGTGGAGCAGCCAGGACTCCAGCTGGGGCTCCTATGGGATGTCAGCAACATAGGCAGTGGCTTAACCCATTTCTCCACAATGCTGACCCCCTGTTTTTTCTTTTTAACAGGGAGAAAACTTTGCAAAACTCCCCTGCCCCCTTTCCCCCCAGCCCTGTTGGCTAAGATGGGTGATATACCCGTGCCCTAGGAGCAAAGAAGGCTGAGATGAAGAGTGTCCAGCACTGCCTACTTCTTTATTTAAAAAAAAAGATTTAATTTATTTATTTGAGAGAGTTACAGACAGTGAGAGGGAGAGACAGAGAGAAGGGTCTTCCCTCCGTTGGTTTACTCCCCAGGTGGCTGCGACGGCCGGAGCTGCGCTGATCTGAAGCCAGGAGCCAGGTGCTTCTTCCTCGTCTCCCATGTGGATGCAGGGGTCCAAGCACCTGGGCCATCCTCCACTGCCCTCCCGGGCCACAGCAGAGAGCTGGACTGGAAGAGGAGCAGCCAGGACTAGAACTGGTGCCCATATGGGATGCCGGCGCTGCAGGCGGAGGATTAGCCTAGTGAGCCACGGTGCCAGCCCCTGCCTACTTCTTTAACAAGAACCTTGTGCAGCAGAGAAGAAAGGCGTTACAGGCAACCAACCGACAGCATCAGACAGAGCTCCCTTACAGCTGCCTAAACCTGGGCAAATAACTTGTTCTCTTGATCCTTTCCCATCAGAAAAATAGGGACAGTGATACCTGTAAGTATTAAAGGAAATAAAAATAGCATGTAATGTGAAGGCTACATCACAGGTGTCAAATAAATGCGCCTACTCTCCTTGATACTACTCTAACTCCCATGATGCTCAATGTTTATGGAGATTCCATCAAGAATTGTTAAAATGAAAGACTCGTTGACAAAAGCAATGATGCCAAGAAAATGTATTTCACATTGCGACATTGTCTATGTAATTTATAAATTATATGGCTAGAAAAATTGTAGCTTATTATTTTAGGATGCAAAAGGGAATGTGGAAATCTGAATCAGTTAAGGGAGATGTATTGCAGTTAACCAAATTGCGTTACTTCACAAATACATGAAAAAATATGATCATGTGAAGGATATTGGATACCAAATGGGCTTTATTTTTAACTGTTTGTTTTAATAGCTCATGAAAATATGGTGGTGCTTTTTATGGCTGTAATGAATTTGAGGAATATGAGACTTCACTGCAGCTTTCTAGTACTAAATCTTTTTAGTGGAGAGATAAGAGACTTAGTATGCTGCTGTCTCCCCACGCACACTGGTGGCCAATTCCTCCTTCTACTGCTATTCATGCTTTTCTAAAAATTGCAGACTACGAGTGGAGTAGAAAGGATGATCATTTCGGGAGGCTTAGGAAGTTGATCTTATGAGCCTCATTTGCGTCCTTCAGGTTGATCCTCGTGTCTGAAACACATAATAATAATAATAATAATTTTCACCTAGCTGTGTAGGACATATGATGGCTTTTTGCCATTGGATCTGTACATGGGGAACAATATGTGAATGTCTACGACCTTTTGATTTCAGTGTAAGAAATTCAACTCAACTTCTGAAACATAAAGAGAGTTGATGGGCTCATCCACCTGAAAAGTCTTCTTCTGACTTCAGGCATGGGTGGATTCAGGAGCTCCAGTGTTGTCAAAGGATGTGTTTGTATGTCTCTGTCTTACCAGCTTTCCTTTAATCACCCACACCTAATCAACTGCGCAAAGAATGTACCTGCCCACCCTTTGTCAGTTAGACTTGACGTTGTGACTTGTTTTAGCTAATGAAATGTGAAAGGAAGTATGTGTTAATTTCTTTTTTAAAAAAATTTTTATTTAAAAAATTAAACAGAAACAGAAAAAAGTATTCAGAGATAGAAAGAGATCTTCCATCTGTTAGTTCACTCCCTGAATGTCTGCAACAGGCATAGCTGGGCCAGGTCAAAGCAAGGAGCCTGGAGTTCAAGCCAGTTCAAATTGTCCTCAACTTCTAAGTCATATATGATAGGACTAGCTTTGGCCAGGGTAGAGGTTAGGCACACCCAAAAGGTCAACCATGTGATTTAGAGTTGGGTTACATGGTACCAGCTAACCTGGGTACTAAGTTCAGCCAATTTGTAGTCAAGCCTCTATGAAAACCCTGTGTAAAGATTCTCAGGTGATTCACCTTGAATTGGGGACGGCATTGTGGCACAGCAGGTTAAGCCATTGTCTGTGATGCTGGCTGCCCACGGGAGCTCTGGTTCAAGTTCTGGCTGCTGTACTTCTGATCCAGCTCCCTGCTAAGGTGCCTGGGAAAGCAGCGGAAGATGGTCCAGGTACTTGAGTCCTTGCACCCATGAGGGAGATCTGGATGGGGTTCCAAGCTCCAGGCTGTGGCCTGGCCCAGCCCCGGCCATTGTGCCCATTTGAGGAGTGAATCAGCAAATGGGAAGATTCCCCCCACTCTCCCCCTCCAACTCTGCCTTTCAAATAAATAAAACATTTAAAAAAGAGACTTATTTATTTATTTGAAAGGCAGAGTTACAGAGAGGCAGAGACACAGAGAGAGAAGTCTTCCATCTGCTGGTTCACTCTGCAAATGGCCACAACGGCCGTAGCTAGGTCAATCTGAAGTCAGAAGCCAGGAGCTTCTTCCAGGTCTCCCATGTGGGTACAGGGGCCCAAGCACTTGAGCCATCTCCTACTGCTTTCCCAGGCCATAGCAGAGAGCTGGATCAGAAGTGGAGCAGCCAGGACTCGAACCAGCACCTGCAGTAGCAGGCGGCATCTTTATCCACTATGCCACAGCACCAGCCCCATGTTTTAAAGCAATGCTCTGTGGATGGTCACACAGTACTCTGTGTGTGTTGATACTAGGAGGGTAACATGTCTCAGGACAGCATAAGTTCACGTTTCGAACCTCCCCAGTTTCTGCCTTATGCATTGCTCTGTTAGCTAGGTTCCACCTGTGTTACTTCCCGGAAATAAACTTGGACCATGAACATAACAGCTTTAGTGAGCTCTGCAAGTCTTTCTGGTGAATTAAAGAGATCGGGGGTGGTTTGGGGAGCTTTGAACTTACGGCTGGTGTCAGAAGTGAGAGTGTGTTGAAGATGGTGCCCTCAGACCTTGTAGGTTGTCTAGCTCTGTGCGCCTCCTTACCCTGCAGTGCCTCTGACAATGTGCCAGAAACTGGCAGAGTCTGTCAGCCTGAGTATTGCCATGACTGTGGTGACAGCATCAAAGCAGAATCCTACCCAACTTGTGTGGCATGACTGAAATAAACATTTATTTAAGCCACTGAGATTTAGGTATTTGTTTTTATCCCGTCCTAATACAGCATGGCACAGGGTCTATTTATTGAGTGAGCACTTAATAAACATGAACTATTATAAATTAGTTCTCTAACACGTACACTTGTTTTAAGTAATACAGGTATACATAGACCATCTATAAATTACAAGAAAATTTATTCATGGTGTCCATTCTTTAAATCTCAGGAGCTCGAAATTATAACCTCCAATCAATGCTCCCTGATTAACAAATTCCTCTTAAGTATCGCACGTAATAAAGACAATTGATCTTGGGAACTGCTGAGGATACAGCGTTCCCCGCAAAGCCGCCCTTTCCACAAAATGTAGAGCACCCCTACCTCCCAGCACCAACCCAGAGCAATTTCCAAGCAGGGCCTGCCTTGAAAGAAAGCCAGAGGCACCTTATAGGGTAGTCCTACTTTACCCTTCCTTGTACCTGCTCCAAAAATGGGGGGACCAAGGAAGATCGTCTTCCTGAATTCCATGTATGTGGGGCAAAGTCCTTGGGGGGATGAGTCAGAGCGGAGGAGTAAGCAGCACTCCCGTCCGACCTCTCTAGAAGCTCAGCTTTTCTGTGTCACTCTGCTTCCCCCAGCCCTCACCTCCCACCCAACATCTGCAGAGGCCAGGGCTTGATCTTAGCCATTCCTTTTGGGTTATTTCCAAGAAAGAAAATGATTTTTTAAAGGTTTATATGCTTCCTTTTTTCTCTTTCTTATCAGTACATGGGTGGTTCTTAACCCATGCTAATTTCTAATTATCTGTTGTTGTATAAGGAATTGCTCCCCAATGGTTAAATTAATCACAGTGTAATAATGATTTCTCATGAGTTTGTGGGTCAAGAATTCAGGCAGCCTTCTCTGGGTGGTTCTTTTGCCTCATGGGCATCGCTGGGGTCACTTGGTGTTTAGCTGGTGGGAGATTGGTTTGGGAGGACCCGAGAGCCTTTCCCTCACTAGTGTGATGTCTGGGAGGGAATGGTGAAAGGCTGGGCAAAGCTGGGACCCTCATCTGTAGGGTCCAGACAGAGCCTCTCCTGCATGTGGTGTGAGGACAATCAGACTTCTTCCCTGGCAGCTGAGGACTCCCAGAATGTTCCAGAAACCAAGAAGTGGATGGTTCTGGCCTCTTGATGCCTAACCCCAGAACAGGCACAGAGTGAGCACCTGCCATATTCTACTAAGGAAGACAGTCCCAGAACCCACTCAGGTTGAAGGGGAGGGGACGCAGACCCTGTCTCTTCAGAATTTCTGGCCATTTTTAATCTTTCACACTATTGACATGACAACAGACTAACACATGTCATGACTCAGGTACAGAAGAGTCTGAGCTTCGTGGGATCAGGGCCAGAAAGATGAAATGACTGACACAAGTTTAGACAGAGCAACGACCGAGGTTTCATAAAGTTAGCTACAGCCAAATCCAGAAATTACAGAAGAAGGATTAACAGATTAAATCAAGTAAGCATGAAAATTACTGAAGAGAAAAAATAAACAGGGGTGGGTGTTTGGGACAGCAGTTGAATTGCCATTTGGGACACCCACACCCCATATCAGAGTATCTGATTAAGTCCTGGGCCTCTACTTCTGATCCAGCTTCCTGCAGATGTGTACCTTGGGTGGCAACAGACATCCACATGTGTCAAGTAGAAAAAATAAAAGCATATTATTAGGAGATGGACATATTCATTTGCTTAAATATAGTAATTATTTCTCTATGTATATCAAAACATCAAGTTGTACACTGTCAATATTTACCATTAAAAAAGCTGAAAAACAATATATGTTGTGGTTTCTGTATTTTTTTTTTTTTTTTTGACAGGCAGAGTGGACAGTGAGAGAGAGAGACAGAGAGAAAGGTCTTCCTTTGCCGTTGGTTCACCCTCCAATGGCCGCCGCGGCCAAGCCGGCTGGCGCACCGCGCTGATCCGATGGCAGGAGCCAGGTGCTTATCCTGGTCTCCCATGGGGTGCAGGGCCCAAGGACTTGGGTCATCCTCCACTGCACTCCCGGGCCACAGCAGAGAGCTGGCCTGGAAGAGGGGCAACCGGGACAGAATCCGGTGCCCCGACTGGGACTAGAACCCTGTATACCGGCGCCGCAAGGTGGAAGATTAGCCTAGTGAGCCGTGGCGCCGGCTGGTTTCTGTATTTTATATTAGGAGCATCTAAGTAGGGGGCAGGTGTTGTGGCACAGTGAGCTAAGCTGCTGCTTGGGCTGCCTGCATCTCATATTGGAGTGCAGGGTTGAGTCCCAGCTACTTCACACTCCTGATGCAGTGTCCTGCTAAGCAGCATCTGGAAAGGAGCAGATGATGGCCCGAGTGCTGTGGTTCCTGCCACCAATGTGGGAGACCGGGATGGCTTCCGGCTTTAGCTTGGCTCAACCCTGCCTGCTGCAGTCATCTTCCTTTAGGCAATGAATATATTAATTCCCAATTCTGGCTCTTTCTCCCTCCACCTCAGAGATAAATATGCTAAGTGGAGACTAGCATCGTGTGCAGATAGGACCAGGGTGTATTTAGCAGTGAGGGAATAAACATACTTTCATGTACAAGCATTGGCCACCCCACCTAGAGAAATAGCGTACATGAATGGGCCAAAAAGTTGTCCTGGAACAAGAGACAGGGAGAAAACCCTGAGAACAGTACCTCTAAGTGAAAACAGGAGCAATCCACGGTGGGGAGTGAGCCTTCTCCGCTTTTCCACTCTTTTTATAAGGGAAGGGCTGTACCCAATCAGATACACAAACAGGGTGGGGTCTGAGCATGTACCCTGATTTTGGTTGTGATGGGTGCATCCTGGGAAGGTAGGTGTATCAAAATAAAAGTTAAAGAGACAGCAGCACTTAGCAGAGATACAAGAATTCCAGCTCTCCTAAACTTTAACTGCTTACACCATGTTGGGGAGGGGGGATCTTCCATCTGCTAGTTCACTCTCCAGGTGGCCACAACAGCCAGCAATGGGGCCAGGCAAAAGCCAGGAGCCAGGAGCTTCATCCTGGTCTTCCATGTCAGTGCAGGGGCCCCAACACTTGGGCCATCTTCTGCTGCTTTTCCCAGACCATTAGCAGGGAGCTGGATTGAAAGTGGAACAGCCAGGACTCAAATCAGCACCCTTATGGGATGCCAGCATTGCAGGCAGTGGCTTTACCCATTACACCAAATGCCAGCCCCTGGACTGACATATCTTGAGCATACACCTTTGTTCTGCTTTAAATAAGTCCTTCGTCCCTGCACACTTTTCGCTTCTACTTTGATCTCTTTCATGCATGGAGAAAAGAGTGGGGGCCCTGTTGCCCACAACAACTCCGCCCTTCTAATAAATGAACCAATGTTTAGCATCTAAGTATTTTTTTTTTCTTTTTTGACAAGCAGAGTGGACAGTGAGAGAGAGACAGAAAGAAAGGTCTTCCTTTGCCGTTGGTTCACCCTCCAATGGCCGCCGCGGCCGGCGCACCACGCTGATCCGGTGGCAGGATCCAGGAGCCAGGTGCTTTTCCTGGTCTCCCATGGGGTGCAGGGCCCAAGCACTTGGGCCATCCTCCACTGCACTCCCGGGCCACAGCAGAGAGCTGGCCTGGAAGAGGGGCAACCGGGACAGAATCCGGCGCCCCGACCGGGACTAGAACCCGGTGTGCCGGCGCCGCTAGGCGGAGGATTAGCCTAGTGAGCCGCGGCGCCGGCTTAGCATCTAAGTATTTACTTCAGACAACCATTTTGATGGAGATACACCTCCTAGATATCATTGAGTGGTGCGATTTTTAGAGGTGATCCTTATTTTCTTTTCTACAGTTTACAAGTGTTTGATTTGTATTAAAAAAAAGAAATTAAACTTTTTTTTTTTGCCAGGCGGAGTGGACAGTGAGAGAGAGAGACAGAAAGAAAGGTCTTCCTTTGCCGTTGGTTCACCCTCCAATGGCCGCCGCGGCCATTCAAAGGCAGGAGCCAGGTGCTTCTCCTGGTCTCCCATGGGGTGCAGGGCCCAAGCAATTGGACCATCCTCCACTGCACTCCCTGGCCACAGCAGAGAGCTGGCCTGGAAGAGGGGCAACCGGGACAGAGTCCGGCGCCCCGACTGGGACTAGAACCCTGTATGCCGGCGCCGCAAGGCGGAGGATTAGCCTATTGAGCCATGGCGCTGGCCATTAAACTTTTTTTTTTTAAAAAAGTGCCCATGTGAGAGGATCGGTGGCTGTTATTGGTCTAGGGGGATGGACTTTGGAGCCTGGCAGGTAGATGGCGTCCTGTGGGAAAGCAAATAACAACAGGAGATTCCAGGTCCCGGCAGTGGGTGTTTGGCATCTACTCTAGGCTACTCTCCTCAGTAGATGCAGTGGCCATGGCTCCTCCTGTGGTGTGGAATTTGACAGAAGGCCTGAGATCCATCTGTGGAAGGGAGGGAGGACAGTTAGGAGGCTGAATTTTCCCTTTTCCTCTGCAAATATGTAATTTGAAGCCCTAACCCCAGGACTTCAGAACGTGACTGAATTCAGGAGTTTTAACAGAGGTGCAGCAGTGAGGAGTCACCAGGATGGCCCTCATCCAGTCTGACTGCTGTCCTTATAGGGGGAAATTCGAATACCCAAAGACTGAGCAGGGACGCATGCACACGGACGAAAGGTCATGTGAGGACACAGCAGGAAGTTCACCATCTTGTACAAACTGAGGACAGGAGCCCCAGGACAAATTGTTGACCCCTTGACCTTGGGCTTCTGAGCCTCCAGGCCGCTGGGAAATATCTTTGTGTGGTTTGAGCCGTGCATTCTGTGAAATTTTGTTCTGGTGGTGGCTCTTAGGATTACATAAAACACTATTCACAATTTTAAGTATTTTCTTGTTGAATTATGTAAACACTTCGGCTCATAGATTTTCATAGATGCTGTCCTTTTTTGCCTTTATTCAGAGTACCTTCAACCAGTATTTCAGAAGAAACACTTTGTCAACTAAGTTGTCTCTGTTTATGATTCCACATAATTATGGGCCTTCCTCAATTTCATTTCATTGCAGTACAGAACATAAATTTACCCAATTAAAAATAGGTGCTTCAGCAAATGATTCATCCTGCAAGTTGAGATATTCTAAAATGCAATTACAGAATTTCAGCATTAATATTGTATGCCATTTGAGGACTCATTGTTTAATTAATCTGTTCAATACCTCCTGTGCTTATGAAAGGATAAATTTCAGGTTTCTCTGTCTGCAAATCATATTTCCAATAACTGCATGTTGGCATTTCATTTGATAAACACTCGATTAAAATTTTTCCTGAGTACATGAAAAAGGGCTCAACTTTGGTAGATGAAGGAAAACATGTCAATCCAAATCATAATGAAGTTCTCCTGCACACTAAAATGGATAAACTTGTGGAGACTGACACTACCAAGTGTTGACAGGGACATAGAGCACTAGATCTCTCACACGTTGTTGGTGGGAATGGAAAATGGTACAGCAGCTGGCAAACACATTACCATATAATTGCAATTCAAAAATAGCACTTCTAGGTATTTACTGGAAATAAACAAAAACAAATGTTGAAGCAAAAACACAAACACAAATATTCGTATCAGCATTAGTCACAACGGTACCTGCTGAAAAAGGATAAACAATGTGTGGTATAGCTATGTCATGGAAAGCTACTCAGCAATGAAAAGAAACATTAATTCAGACACAGCATGGGTGCATCTCAAAACTATTATGTTGACAGAAAAGAAATCAATTGCAAAAGATTCCATGCTGTATAAGCCCATTTATATGACAACCGATAACATGAAAAACTGGGGAGAGGAAACAGATGAACGGCTGTCTGCCACGAGTCGAGGGGGGAAGACTGACCACATACGGGTCTGAGGAAACTTTCAAGAGTGAGGAATTGCTCTATTTCCTGATTGTGATGATGGTTTAATGATTGCACACAATTATCAAATCAGCAAAACTCACCAACCAGGACACATGGGGTAAACATTACCTGGACAAACAAAGAGGAAATAATTGCCAACTAATTTTGAATGGCATTAAACTAAAATTTAGAGGACTTGTACATAAAGGCTCAGTACAATAGAATGTTTATATTGGTTTACAAAGGAGATATTCAACAGTTCAAACATTTTTAAACATCAGATTGGCAAGAAGCAGCAAAGAGAGAAAACACAGAATGATGTACTAAAAATTTCCTACATTCAACGGGCAGCACTGCCACATAATTTTGCAATTCACTTGTTCTGTGCATATGTAAAGTAAAATAATTTTTGGCAATTAGTTTTCTCCATATTTAAAAGAATTATATTTTCGGAACTCCGAATGTAATTGTGAATTCTGTGTGTGCCACATCCAGTTGTGGGTAGATCCTCCTACTTTTTAGTAAGAGCAAGGATTTTATCACCACAAAGATTAATCACGTTTTCAGGGCAGAAACTTTTAAAATAAATAGTCATAATAATTTCTTATGTTCAACCTTCAGAAAATTAGACTTCAAAAAGCTTTGCCTTGATTTCATGAACTGGATGGGAAAAAATTGAGCTGGTTTTCTATTGGAAGCAGATGATGACAGCAACATCCAACTGTGAAATTTTCTTCATATTTATGGCCATCACTTTTTCTACAGTATGAGAAAAAATGGGGGAAAATGAGCAAAAGTATAAACATGTTTGATCTAAGTAAAAAGACATTTCACAGGTATATATTTACTGGTCAACTTTAGGCAGAGACATCTCTTACTTCTTTTAAAGATTTATATTTACTTTTATGAAAGGTAGAGTTACAGAGAGAGAGAGAGAGAAAGAGAGAGAGAGACAGATCTCAGCCATCCACTAGTACTATAAGAGCCAGGGCTGGGCCAGGCCAAAGCCAGGAGCCTGGAACTCCATCTGGGTGTCCCATATGAGTGGCAGGGGCTCAAGCACTAGGATAATCTTTTGCTGCTTTCTCAGGCACATTAGCAAGGAGTTGGGTTGGGAGTGGAGCCGCTGGTACTCAAACTGGTGCTCACCTGGGATGCCAGCATCACAGACAGCAGCCTAACTTGCTGCACCCAAGGCTGACCCCAGGCAGACGTCTTTAAATAATTAGTAACTCTAAAAGTTGATGTCTCTTCAAGTTTGTGTATACACGTAATCAGGGAAATCGTTACAGCCCTTCTGATCATGGTAAATGTCAATACATATGATGTGCAAGTATCCCATCAGCATCAAGTTGCTGGAACCAGATATTTAAAATGTAATTTGTCATCGTGTATGCACTTTGTGACTCTTGAAAGGGGCAGAAGAGGGATGGATTGTTACTGGACATCCTTCAGTCTAAGGCAAGAGTTCTGTGCTGTGTATGCATCTTGTGACTGTAGGATGTGATCATGGCAGAAACTAGAAATACACTGTGGAGGACTTGCAAACTCAGCCAGCTTACTGAAGTTTACATATAGTGAAAAGTAAAGATTCTGTATAGTCTTTATAGGGTTCTAACAAACGTATATGCCCATAAGCAAAATAAGCATAGAACACTCCCATCACTATGGAAAGCCGCCTCACTTCCCTTCTAGTTCATTCCTGTCCCCATAGGTGACTGTTTTCTGATTTCTATTGCCATGGGTTAATTTTGCCTGTTTTTAAACTTCATAGAAATGGAAGAACGAATTCTTTTAAGTTTGGCTTGTTTTCAACATTATCAAGTGAGTTTTATCTATGTTATAACATATATCAGTAGATCATTCTTTTTTCCTTTTAAAATTTTCTGAAAGCTATTCTATTTAAAATTTTCTTATTTAATTTATGCATTTAGAAGAGAAAGAGATTTCACATCCACCAGTTCACTCCCCAAGTGTTCACAACAGCCAGGACTGGATTAAGCCAAAGCCAGGAGCCAGGCACACAATCTAGATCTCATTAAAGGCAGGGATCCAATCACTTGAGCCACCATCTGGTTCTTTCCAGGATGCACGCAACAGCGGGAAGCTGGAAGAGAGAGCAGAGAAGTGACTCAAACTCAGGCACTCCAATACGAGATGTTCCAAGTGGTGGCTTAACCACTGTGCCCAGAGTCCACCCCTGAGTTATAGTCTGTTCCATGAATCTACCACAATTTACTTGTTCATCTTCCTATTGATGGAATTTGGCTTGTTTTCATGGTTCTGCTATTACAAATGAAGCTAAAATACATGTTTTTGTATAGGACTCCACTGTAAGCGTGTACTTTAATTTCCCTTGGTTAAATACCTAAGAGTAGAGCTACTGGATTGCAACTAAAGTGTAGCATAATGGCCAATAGGTTTCTACCATGAATCTTGTCTTACACTTGGGCCTACGCTTGAACTTGGCAATGTCTGAAAGTTCCAATTACTCCACTTTCTTACCCTTATCTATGTTATCAGTCTATTCAATTTCAGCTATTTTAGTGACAATGAAAGTGATATTCCATTATAGTTTTAAATTTGTGTTTCCCTAATGACTTATAAGGGTGAACGACTTATAAAGAAAATCTTGGTGAAATATCTCTTTGAGTCTCTTGTTCGTATTATTTTGCTGAACTCTTGTCATTTTATTATTGATTTATAGGAGGTCTTTATATATTCTGGATACAAGTCCTTTGTTAGATTTATTATTACAATTTTTTCTCCAGACTATGGCTTGCCTTTTCATTTTCTTAATGGTGTGTTTCAAAGAGTAAAAGCGTATAATATTGATGAAATCAAATCTATCAGGTTTCTCTTTCACACTTAATAGTTTTTGTGTCCTATCTAAAAAGTCATCTTTTAAAAAAAGTGTGATGTGGCATCAGTGTTGTGGCACAGCAAGTTAAGTCATTGTCTGCAGTGCCAACAACCCATATGGAAACTGGTTCAAGTTCCAGGTGCTCTAGTTCTGATCCAGCTTTCTGCTAACGTGCCTGGGAAAGCAGTGGAGGATGGGCTCTAGCTTTCTCTCTACCTCTCTCTGTGATTCTCTCTTTCAAATAAGTAAAAAGAAACCCCTTTTTAAAAAGAAATGTACTTTAGAGCCGGCGCCGTGGCTCACTAGGCTAATCCTCCACCTTGCGGCGCCAGCACACCGGGTTCTAGTCCCGGTCGGGGCGCCGGATTCTGTCCCGGTTGCCCCTCTTCCAGGCCAGCTCTCTGCTATGGCCAGGGAGTGCAGTGGAGGATGGCCCAGGTGCTTGGGCCCTGCACCCCATGGGAGACCAGGAAAAGCACCTGGCTCCTGGCTCCTGCCAGGATCAGCGCGGTGCGCCGGCTGCAGCGGCGGCCATTGGAGGGTGAACCAACGGCAAAGGAAGACCTTTCTCTCTGTCTCTCTCTCTCTCTCTCACTGTCCACTCTGCCTGTCAAAAAAAAAAAAAAAAAAAAAAAAGAAATGTACTTTAAAAATTAATTAATTAATCTGAGAGAAAGAGAGAGAAAGAGCTCCCATCTTCTGTGTTAGTCCCCCAGTGCCTCCAACCTCTGGGGGTTGGGTCAAGGTTGAAGCTGGGATCTGGGAACTCAATCTGGGTTTCCCACATGGGTGGCAGGAACCTGATCACTTAAGCCATCACCACTGCCTACTAAGGTATGCATCAACTGCAATCTGGAGCCAGGAGTTGGAGGTGGGTATTGAATTCATGCACTGGAATATGGAGTGTGGGGATCTTAACCAGTGTTTTAGCCACTAGGTCAAATGCCCACCTATGCTGTCCTTTTCTTTTTTTCTTTTCCTCTCTCTCTTTCTCTTTTTAAAGATTTATTTATATATTTGGAAGGCAGAGTTACAGAGAGGCAGAGGTAGAGAGAGAGAAAGAGAGAGAGGGGGAGAGAGAGAGAGGTCTTCCATCTGCTGGTTCACTCCCCAGATGGCCACAAAGGCTGGAGCTGCACCAATCCGAAACCAGGAACCAGGAGCCAGGAGCTTCTTCCAGGTCTCCCATGTGGGTGCAGTGGCCCAAGCACTTGGGCCATCTTCTACTGCTTTCCCAGGCCATAGCAGAAAGGTGGATTGGAAGTCGAGCAGGCAGGACTGCAACCAGCACCCATAAAGGATGCCAGCACTACAGACGGTGGCTTTACCCATTATGCCACAGCACCGGCCCTTCTTTCTATTCCTTCTAAGAAATATTTGCCCATCCCAAGGTTGGAAGACATTTCCCATGTTATTTTCTAGAAGTGTTAAAATTATAGCTTTTATGTTGACATATATTATCCATCTCAAATTGCTACTTGTGAGTAATATGAGGTAGTGATTGGGGCGATTACTTTTATCTATATTAGGTCACTCATTTAACTTCTCTGAGCCTCACTTCCCTATCCGCAAATGACTAAAGCCTACCTCACAGAGTGGATATTGAGATAAATAAGCTATTAGCATTTAGCACATAATGGATGTTGAACAACATGATTCAATCAAGATCACCTTTTAGATTTTTGTGGATTCCTTGGATGCTCTATGAATTGTCATCTTGTCCATCTTCTCATGTTCTCTGATGTGTAAGACTCTCAGTTAACACTAATAGAAATAATCATACTTTTTAAGAACCACTCTGAGTCTGGCACTTGGGCATATTCTCCGCCAACCCTTTAAGGAAGTATGATCTTCATTTTGAAGATGATAAAGCGAGTTGAGAGAACAAGAGCACTAACATAAGGAAATGGACAGTAGTTGATGAGACCAGTATTTCAAATTAGGTCCAAGTTCAAAGCTCACCCTCTATCCACTACATGCCTTTAACTTCTTTTTTGTTTTTAAAGATTTATTTATTTATATGAAAGAGTTACACAGAGAGAGGAGAGGCAGAAAGAGAGAGGTCTTCCATCTGTTGATTCGCTCCCCAATTGGCCGCAACGGCTGGAGCTGCACCGGTCCGAAGCCAGGAGCCAGGAGCTTCTTCTGGGTCTCCCATGTGGATGCAGTGGCGCAAGGACATGGGCCATCTTCTACTGCTTTCCCAGGCCACAGCAGAGAGCTGGATTGGAAGTGGAACAGCTGGGTCTCGAACCGGTGCTCATATAGGATGCCAGCACTTCAGGCCAGGGTGTTAATCCACTGCGCCACAGCACCAGCCCTGCATTTGACTTCCTAATTGGGTCAGACATTAGTGTTTCACACCATCTTTTGGAGTTATTGGACGGTGTTGGGAATAGCACTTAGAGATGTCTCATTTTCAGCCTGTTGGAAATGCCCTTTTCCTAGTCCATCTTCTACCATGATAAGGGTGGTGTATCAGTGGTCTGCAAATGGACCTCCAGTGCTCTACCCATTCCCCCCCCCCCCCCCCCCCCCCCCGCAGCTTGCTCTCTTCCATCTGGGTCACCTCTGCTGTTCCCCTGCTATCCCTCACTGGTTCATACCCAGGGAAATATACTCCTTCAGGGAGTATTTGGAAGTGTTGTAGGAGAAGAAGGGCACATTGAACCTCCTGGCACCTGGTGGGTAGGGTTTAGGAATGTTAAAAATCATGCCAGGCATGGAGCAGACCCACAGAATGAATCGCCCACCCCTAAATGCCAACAATACTCTCCTTAAAACTTTGACTAACTCCTGTCTTTAGAGATTCCATTAGTCAGCTCTTTGATACTATAACAAAATGCTTGAGGCAGGCTACCTTTATAAAGGAAAGTTTATTTTGGTGCAAGGTCTAGAGGCTTCATCTGGTGGTGTCCCTCCTGCTGGCAGAGTCCTGGTATGGCACAGGACATGGCCAGTGACAGGGGTGCATGTGTATGTGTCTGTGTCTCCATCTCCTTATAAAATTCCTGGAAGGAATCCATCATGTGGTCTCCACTCTGACAACTTAGCCCAATCACTGCCCAAAGGCCCCACCTCTGAACATAATCATTGGATTAAGTCTCCACCCTCTTAGCACTGTTATCCTAAGGCTTTGGGGTCTAAAATCCTGTGGGTTTGGGGAAGACAAATATTCAACCAGAGGGGAGACTGAATTCAAGACATCCCTTCTGCAAGGTGTTCTCTACCAGGCCCCGAGTCATCGCTCTCTTGAATGACAATGTTGTGACAGCCTCTGTTGCTCCTGTATAAGCCCATGTCCACTGGTGTACAAGAGGTGCCCCTTCTGCAGGTGGGAGAGGAGGAGGAGGTGGAGACCTTGTGGACTCTTGAAAGCAGGGCTGGTGGAATTAGGAGCCAGGACACATTGTGGGAGGGAGCAGCTGTAGTGGGAGCATAGAGAGTTGGGAGAGGGTCAGGACGTCTGGATGGGAGAATTCCATTGCAGAAAGGCTGAAGAGGCAAACTGGCCAAGAGCCTTGGTGAAGGGGAATGGGGTCTGCATTTCATCCTTAAATCAATAGGGAGCCGTTAAAGGACTTCACATCCATTCCTGGTGTCTTGGTGTACAAGCCTGTCCTTCAAGCACATTGGAGGAGCTCTGGCTTCGGCCCCTGAGTCTGCCATTCAGTTGTATCCAGTGCTTCATGAGCACACTGCCTCATTGGCTCAGTCACTCAGTCCAGAAATGATTTAAAAAAGGCTTCAATCAATAGAGCTGTAGGAATTTCTTTAGGGTTTATAGCTAGAGATTCATGAACAGCAGTCTTTCTACAGAGTGAGTATAAATATGCATGCTACTGAGGCCTGTGGGAGACACATGGACAGGGGCAGGTGGCTTAAGGGGGACTTCAAACATGGCTGACCTTTGCCTGGACTCAAGGCAGCACTGGTGAGGAGAGAGCTGAAAGCCCCCGCCAGCACTGAGCTCCGCACGGCTGCTCACCCTGATTCATGTGCCAGGCCATTAATCCAGCAAGAAGCCGCTCAATGGGCAGACGAACAAAAACAGGAGGCCCTGCTGAGAGCCGTAAATCATCTCTCGTAACAGCTTTATATACTTGAAAGTGAAGGCTATTCCAGGAGCCCCATGGAAAGAACCTGGGATGTTAGTTTCTCGTAGAAACCTGGGAAGTTCGATTCAATCACTAACCAGTTGAGGACTTGTTTTGTACAAGTGGCTGGGCTGGCACAGAGATAAA